AGACCGTCGGCCCCCAAGTGTTCTGGATCGCATGTCGGATGCTCGCTCGGCTGAACACGTAGCCAACCACATACGTGTCGTTCCAGCGGGCAACTTGTGCCATGTGTCTCGACCTGGAGCCTTGATGGCCCGCAGAGTAGTCGTGCATCGTCCCATGAGCCGAGCTTCTGATCGGTCTGCGCCAGGCAGTCGATGACCGTACAAGCCCGCTGCTTGAGTCGGCAAGTGGTACCACGGGTTTCGACCTGGTGCCCTGATGGCACGCAGAGTAGGCCCGCCTCGAGGGCCAGGGGGGGGGGCCAGCGCCGGGAGCGAGCCGGAGGAGGAGGAGGAGGAGGAGGAGGAGGAGGAGGAACAGGAGGAGGAGGAGGAGGAGGGGGAGGAGGAGTAGGAGGAGGAGGAGGAGGAGGGGGTTTCGGGCAAGCGACCCTGATCACCAACCATTTCCCAGCCACAGCGAATTCCATGTAAAGTCCTGACCCCAAAATCCTTCCCGACCGCCGCGTTTTCTAGTTCAAATCCTTCCTAACTCCAGAATCAGTCCCAACACCAACATCCGTCCTAACCTTGTGCTTTCTATGCGAAAATTCGCCCAGTCCACATTCCTTCCAACCCAAGGGCTCTCGACAAACAATCTTTACCAACCTAAAAAATCCTCCCAGCCCAAGCGTGCATATTCTTCGGCGACTTGGCACCCATTGCACCTTGGTCGACCGCCGTGCGCTGGCCATGTCGCGACTAGAGCATGCCCGTTAGGAATGCATGTTTACTGTAGCGCTTGCAGCACAGCGACAGCATTGATTGTTCGTCGAACTATTCTGTAGCGGAACATCTGCATAGTACAATGCAGGGAAACTGGAGGGAACGGAGTGGGGCAGCAACCTTTCTGATCACGAAAGCCGGTCGAAGAATGACAGTATAAGATGACAGTTATCAGCGAGAAACATTTCAGGCCGACCAATACATGAACGAAGCCATCAACCGCGTTTCTTCGTTCTGCATTTAAGCCGCCCGTTGTTCGAACAGCGTATAATATTTGAAGGCTTGTGCTGGGCTGTGAAGACATCTGCCTCCCTCGTCAGACTTAGAGTCATGCTTGCTGACCCACTTGGCCTTGTGTCGAACAGGATTGGCAAACCAACTTGAGGGCCGCCTCATGCGCCTGCTTCCGCCACTTGATCATGGATGCTTGCGGGACGTGGATCTCGCATAGCGCGATGTAGTCATACGTTCTGCTGAGGGGCTTGACATACCCTTTGCCTTGTCCCTCCTGCGCGTACTATTCGAAAATGACGTGTAGGTGGACCCGCGAGTAGCTGCACAACCTGGGCCCCGAAGCGGTAGTCAGTTGAGCGGAAGATCGGGACAAATCGGAACCAGAGATTCTGGGAGAGTTCCAGAGAAAAATAGAAGGCCGATTTGTGGAGCGTAGCGCGCGCATTCGCAGAACTTCCCCGAGGAGTGTTCGAGGGTTCGAGGAGCCCAGGTAACACATGGGCGCTCGATTGAATTGTTGAGAGCGGGCAGAAAAACTGGTTTGCACGAGCACTGGGAGCGGGTGCGCGGCTTGCACGGGGGGCACAGTAGGATTGCGTTTCAGGGACTCGGGCGCTGGCCGATGCGTTGATGGGGGCCCGAGAATGCGTCGCGCATAATGCTTCTTGGCGCCATGGAGGCCGCATTTGCGGTTGCAGTGGGGCGGGCGCCCCGCCGCGTGCACTGCGGCGACAGCTCTCTTGGGCGCCCGCCCGCCGCCGTCGACGTAGTGGGCCCAGCTAGTCTCGCGGCTGGCGCGCGGCGGGTCGGCAGCCGCGACGCTGGCGGCCTGAAAGTGCTTCGAAAGTGTTTCTCCCCGAGCCCGGGGCAATCGTACGTTTTCGGTGGCGCGCGCAGCTCGGATAAAACATCGTTTTCTCCGTCGGCGGCCAGTTGGCTGTCGTCGCGCAGAAGTACCGGCGGATGGCGCGGTCCACGCTCAGCGCAGAGAGCGTGTCTATGAGCGTGGGCTCGTCGAGGGGCAGGGGGAAGGACCTCGTGGTCGGGGCCATCTGGGCGCCGCCGCAGGCCGATTTCAGAGAATCTCGGAACCAGAAATCCAGGCGCGCCAAATTTCGCGGGCCGAAAAACTTTCAGAGAGTTTCGGCCAGCTCCGGGGTTCTGGGTTTATGGGAAGGTTTCAGGCGGGGCGGCTAATTCAGAGATTCTCAGAGATTCTCAGAGAACTTCGGACGCGAGAATTTGGCGCGCCCCGGTTTCTGGTTATGTGAATCTCTGAAAAGCGGTTCCTCAGGGTTTACCAGATTTCCAGGCGTCCTATTGTCAGCCAGAGACGAGCGACCGGCTGGCGCCGCGCCCGGTGCTCTTGGAGTTGCGAACTCGGTCCTCGATTCCCTGGGGCCCGCGGGCCCCGGGGCCAATCGCGAGGTTGCCGAGGCCCCCGGGCCGTTGCGCGCGATTGTCTCGGAAACAGGAGTCGGGCATCCATGGTGGACGCCCGCGCGTACGCGCTAGGTGTCCGCGAGATTATTCGGTGGCGGATCTTGCTTGGCGAGGGGACCTTCCAGAGACTTTCCCGGATTTCTCTAGGTTATTTCGGCGCGCTTCGGGGCGCCTGGGGCGGCGGGGGGACGTCGCCGGGCCGCGCGCGGGCCTTTTTTACAATGCCTTCTCGGGCATTATCGCGGCGTTGCGTGGCCGAAGAGGTCACTGAGCAACACGCTTTTTGATATTTACGTGTTTTGCGTTGCGTTGGTTGCGTAACTGGTTTGGCGGTCCGCCTCCTTGGGGCCCCCTTGGGGCCTCAATTTTGTTGCGTTAACGTCGGGTCTTCTGGAGCGAGGCGCGATTGGCGCAGAATTCCCTCAGGCGCGCGCGTGGCCAAATACGCGCCGTGGCCTCATCCGCGCCGGGGCGCATTTCCTCCCTCGCGAAGCCGATGGCGCCCAAGGCGTGGCAGGCCCATTCGGCTGCGCCCCCGGTGATTTGAAAAAACCGAGCATGATTTTTATCCCGGTCAAACTTTGCCCCGATCCTGGCGTCGTCCTAGGTAGATGCACGGGGCGGCGATCCTGTGCGCGTAGTGAGAAGGAACCCGATCCAGTACTCGTCGTACTGGTTACCCCTGTGAGCACTGGCGCGATCGATGGCGCCGACGATGTGGTCAATGATGGTATTCCATGTTGCCGGGTCGCCCAACCGAACTGCTGCGCTGGCAGCCGTCGTAGGAAAATTCCGCCCTTACCGCTGCTGCTGCCGCTGGTGGTGATCCTCTTGCTGTTGGCCTTGTCGATCGCCGTCGCTGGCCGCCTGGAAGCGCGCCGGCGAGAGCTTCTCCGCCTCCGTCTTGATCGCCTCCTCGTCGACCGGGGGGTCCTTGGCCTCCCCCTCCTTCTTCGGCTCGCCACCGTCGCCCTCCTTTTTCGCCAAAGTGTCCCAAGGCTGTTTCCCAGGCCCCTTGCGCTTATTCGTGCACGTGCGCTGGGCGACCTCGTCTCTCATCTTCTTGCACTTCTCCATGAAGAGCTTCCACCCCGAGTCGTTCGCCTCGATGGTGGTCTTGTGTGCGTCGAGCTTCTGCTTCAGGGCCCTGATTAACTGCTTCTCACTATCCTCGCAGTCCCACTGCTCGAAATCCTTGAAGATATCCTCGTTAACAAGATTCTTAAACACGTCTGGCTTGCTGTCGATACCTGCAGCATCAGGAGCTCCTCGAACTCCTTCGGCATTGGCGGGAGCAGCAGTAGCCATACGCTGTTCCGCGTCGGCTTCGGCAAACTCTAAGGCTGCTTCATTTTCTTTGCCTTGTTTCCGAAGGCGGACACGGACAACCTGATCTATGAGTTGAGAATGCTTGCTGGTCTCGTTTTTTTCAGGCGCTATCTGGTTTCTTAAGCTTGCCCGCTGCTGAGACTGAGGCCTGCTCGTTCGTCTGGACGGCGAGGTGATCCTTCTGCTGGAAAGGATCTGGCGGAGCTCAGCATCTTGCACGCATGGACACCAGTGCCTGCTGGAGTAACTCTACGAATCCGTTGACCCTACAGCTGCGCCGTCCACTCCTGTGTGTCCCGCTGCCGTCTTCTTTAAGTTTGTCCACGAAGCGAATTCGATGATCTGGCGTCTTGGACCTTGGGCGGAAAGTCTTGACCTCATGCGTGCAGTGTGTGCAACAGTTCCCTGCTGGAGGACGTCATGGTACTCATAGGTCTCGCAATAACCCCAGGAAGCACTTAAGGACCCCCCCAACCCCCCCACCCCTCATCCGGTGGAAGTATAACGCACCCGGCACCCTGGAAGCGTTCCCTCGGCACCGGAGGAGCCCGCAGAGAGCACTCGGGGCCAAGCCTTGCCTTGCCGAGCCCTGCTTAGCATCCTAGGAGTCTCGTATCCTTGGGATTCCCTAGGCAATCCTTTGCTGGTCCGTAACATGTCCGAGGAAATGCACAGCATATCCAAAGGCATCCCCAACGATTTCTTCTTGCGCGTCGCGCGGCGCGCGACGCGCCACGGAACTTTTGTTTTGATTTGTGCGAGATGCTAAAGATATCGCTCTGCGAAAACGCCCCCCTGGAAATGTCAAATCCTGGTGCGGTGCCAACGATCGCCCCGGGGGGTTCTTAAAGGCTTCCTCGGGTTATGTGCACTGGCTCCTTGGCCGACGATTGCAAGAGAAAGAAGCTTTCCGTGTGAAGTACAGAAGAAGGATCTAAGATGTCGAACTCTCCCTTGCTTTCGTTGATGTGGAGGGGCGGTTCGGTACTGCGCCTCCCACAGCCCTGGGAGGTACAGGGATGGCCACGGACGGCTTTAAGGGGACAGGGGAGGAGGAAGGAACTGGGGAAGGGAGGGAGGGAGCAGGGCTGGAGGCATTCTCCTCATGAGCAGCAGCGCGATCCTCGGCCGCCGCCCCCGCTCGCGCCGCGAATTGGCTGCGCGCCCCGCCGCGCGCCGCGCCCGGCTCTGGCAGGGGGTGACGGGCCTCCCGCCCGGGCGCTGCGAGAGCCATGGGAGCGAAGGGGGGCCTCCTCCTCCTCCTCCTCCTCCTCCTCCTCCTCCTCCTCCTCCTCCTCCTCTCCTCCTCCTCCTCCTCCTCCTCCTCCCTCCTCCTCCTCCTCCTCCCTCCTCCTCCTCCTCCTCCTCCTCCTCCTCCTCCTCCTCCTCCTCCTCCTCCTCCTCCTCCTCCTCCCTGAGATCGCCGAGAGCGAAAAGACTGCGATGACTTGGGGCCATGATACGGTAGGTTTGCGTCGTGTCGACCAGCGGCGACCCCGCCGCCGACGTTCAACGTTGAACGCCGACGGCGGCCCAGAATCGGTCGATGTTGAACGATCGGACGCTGCGGAGACGGCCGATCGTTCAAGGTTGAACGATCCAGCGCGGTGCCGGGAACCAGCGCTGGGGTCGGCACGACACGAACCTGCCGTACATCTGTTTGGCGCTCCGCGCGGATTTCTTGGATCGGCGCATGGGCCCCCCCCCGCGGCTCCGGCGCCGCCCCTGCCGCGATCCGCGCGCCAGGGGGGGGGGGGGTCCAGCGCAGATTCAAGAATTCCGCGCGGAGCGCCATAAGTTTATACTTATGCCGTTTTTTCTTTCTTTGGGGGGGGGGGTTATCGGCGATCGACGTTCGATCGATACCGCTGCTGGGGCCCCCACTTCGGGCGCCAGTTGCAGCAGGGTGTGAGCAGAAACAGCGTGGACTCGTAGGCCAGGAGTTTAGCCGTGTCCCCGCTCCTGGTCTGGCCCCTCTTGGGGTCGGGGTGTGAGCAGGGGTATGGATCAAATTTCGAGTGCCGAGGTCAGCCTAGGCCTTCAGATGGGACGAGATAGGGTGGGTCGGAGGATCGCGCCGCGTCGCCGATGCATCGGCGATGCGGCTCGAGGTGGAGCCCGCTGTTTCTCACGCCAGCGTCGCAGATGCACCGCCGACGTCGCCGATGCATCGTCGATACGTCGTTGATGCATCGGCGATGCGGCGCGATCCTCCGACCCCATCTGCTCGAACCCCATCTGGGCGGCCTCCAGCCAGGGGGCAGCGTCAGGCCCAGAGCGCCGCGCACCCGACTTTTTGCTCAATCTGGGCGGCGTTCCCCGACCTCTGCCTCGGCTGGGGCCGCGGCGGGGGGTGCCAGGTGGTCAGGGAGAGGCTACTCCAGACTTCGCAATAAAAGGTAGGGGGTCTGGACCCTCCAAGACAAGCCGTTTCAGACCACCCCCCGTGGGAGGACCCTCCAAAACATCGTCCCCAGACCCCCCAGGCCCTCCAAGATAGCCTGGAAGAGACCCCCCCCGAAATGAGACCCCCTCCCTTTTATTACGAAGTCTGGAGTACACGCGGATGGCAGGATGGTGACATCTGGCTCAATCTGGCTTTGCAGTGGGTTACAAGTGCCCTTACGTAGCCCAGGGGGGTCGCAGAACCGCGCTGGAACTCGGGCTTGCCCGCGCTTCTTGGCGAGCGCGTCCTGGATCTAGACGGTCCAGTTTTCGTGGGATGTCTGAAGCGGGAGCTCGCGTCAAATTTGAGAGTCGGTCTCGTTTTTGTTCATGATGGCCCCGTCAGGCCAACCCGAGTCCCCCGAACCCGAGTCTTACGTCTCCCCGATAGGGGCCCGATGGCCCACCCCTCCCAGGAGTGTGCGGTTTTCGCTATCGGGGGCCCGCCGATACCAGGTCGATGTCTTCCCCCCCTGAGCCGGTCCCCTGCTCAGGTTCCCCCTCGCCGCGTCGGGTGGGGCTTGGTGTCACAGGTTTTGCCGTAGATAAGTGTGCACGCGAGAAGGCATCCACTGTGCGTGCTGTGTCTCCCGAGGAGCCAGTCAGGACGCATCACGACACGTTCTTGAGCCAGGCACCGTAAGACTCGGTGCAGCCACATCTTGAGAATGTTTTGGCTTCATCGTGCCGGCAAGGCGGGCGAGAGGACGAAGACCAACGGCGGCCCCTGCCCACCGCCATGAAGCCAGCGGGTCCCGAGGGACACGGCTCCTGAGGTGGTTCGCAGTTCCTGGGCTCTCCGGGCTCGGGGGCCCTTCGAGGGCCCCGGGTCCGTCAAAGAAGGGCTCGGGACGAACTGCTGGTCCTGGAAGAAGCCCCAGGTTCCAGGATCCGTGACCCGCGTCTTCGATGCGAACTGAGGCGGAGACAAGTGGTGGCCGTCGTTCATGCGGAAGAGGAGTCGTTGCCCAGTCGCGGTGGGTGTCGTGCACTGGAGACGCACGCCGCCCGCTCAGCATCGACTTCTGTGGGTTTTGGGCGGCATTCGTTGCTGGGCATTGCTTCCATCTTTCCCGTCTGCTTAGGGCGTTCCAGAGGGCGGTCTGTGGGAGATTGTCTGCTGTGCCGCCTCAGGGCTCCTCCACCTCCACCTCATCCGCCAGCTGCGATCGACGGCTGGCCTATGCCCTTCTTCTTCTTCTCTTTGATTGGAGAGGAGAGGAGAGCAGAGGAGAGCAGAGGAGAGGATCGGTTTCTTTGGGCCTCGTTTTTTGTGGTGGTCCCTCCAGTTCCTTTGGAGTTGGTGGATGGTTCCTTGGGGAGACAGTTTTGTTTATCTATGGCGCGTGACGGTCATTACCCGTGCCAGCCTTCCCCCCTCACGGGTAACGGTAGCGATCGCGATCGCAGCGCACCCCCGACCCGACGTGCCCCACCCCGCCAAAACGGTGCTGCCAGAGACTGTTTTTGTTGGGTCCTGGCGATCACCCATGTTATCCGGCTGTTTGCCCCTTTCCTCTCCCCCCCCACCACCAGATAAACCTGGTAATCAAGGACATTCAGACAGGGAAAGGTACCCAAACCGCTACCATTTCCTTGTTTTCCCCCTTTTGGGCCTCCTGGGAGGCCCTCGCCGCCACCGCTGGATTCGGCTCGAAATTCTGGTTAGAGCGCACCCTGGGAGAGGTCCTGGGGAGTAGCGGTAATATGGGTACCTTGTGGCTTGCCCAGAAACAGAAGAAAAGTCGGTCTCTTACCCAAGTCTTCCCCCCCCCCCCCTCTGGCTCCCCCCCGGGTTACGATCGCCACTGGAAGTCGTTTAACGCAGTCTCTGATGGACGTTGGCAGGAGGAGGAGGAAGAGGAGGAGGAGGAGGAGGACCTTCGGCGTATGTCGGGGAGTCGAGCCCTATGCGCTCTCCTGCGGCCCCTCGCCCGCTTTCGGGGGGGGGCCTCCCGCGCTGGGTTGCGCTGTATCCTCGGGGGACCTCGGCTGCCCTTGCGTTGGTGTCATTTCTCGTGCCCCACGCGGGCTCGGAGCGGACTCGACGCGGATCTGGCGTGGATTCGACGCGAATTCGGCCTGGATTCGACGCGGATGCGACGAGCCCGATACGGAGTCGATACGGGCTCGGCGCCGACAGGGGCCCGACGGGCAGGTAGGGTCACCCCGAAGATGCGCAACGCAGGTCGAAGAAGAAGAAGAAGAAGCACCGGCATACACAAGCTTTTGGAGCTCCGCGCGGATTTGTTTGGATCCGCGTTTGACCGACCTCCCTGGCGCTCGGAGCGCGCCAGGGGCAGCGGATGTGGGATAGGGGAACAGGGGAATCAACATCTCCATCGACCCCATCTGGGATAAGTTAACAATGCACTGCCCCTGGCGCTCTCCGCGCGCCAGGGAGGGGGGTCCAGCGCAGATCCAAGGCGTCCGCGCGGAGCTCCGAAAGTTCGTGTTTGAAACCGTCCCTTGTTCCTCTTCTTCCTCTTCCTCCTCATCATCATCATCAACAACCTCAACATCCTCCTCTCCATCCTCATCCTCATCACCATTATATACCATCACCATCACCATCCTCATCCTCATCATCATCAACACCACCATCACCAGCACCATCACCATCACTATCATTACCATCACCATCACCATGCTGATGATGATCATCATCATCATCAGCAGCATCAGCATCAACATCAGCATCAGCATCATCATCATCATCATCAGCAGCATCAGCAGCATCCGCATCATCATCACCATCAACGCCATCATTATCATCAGCAGCAGCATCATCAGCATCATCATCACCATCAGCATCACAATCTATCCTATCATCATCATCATCATCATCATCATCATCATCATCATCATCATCATCATCATCATCATCATCATCATCATCTCCATCATCTGCGTCATCATCTTCCTCCCCCCCTCCTTCTCTTACGTTCTCACGTCCTTCTCCTCATTTCCTCCTCCTCCTCCTCCTCCTTGTGTGCCCTCCTCCTCCCCGCAGGGCGCAGGCCGATTCCAGCGGCGCACCCGCCAGGCCCCGTGCGGGGGGCAAGGATTCGGCATCCCCCCTGGCCGCCGCCAGGTAGGGGTCTGCCGGCGGCGCTGCGGTGCCCCGGACGGGCCAGGAGAGAAGAGAGGAGGAGGGGCAGCAGGAGAAGGCGGAGGAGGAGGAGGAGGAGGAGGAGGAGGAGGAGGAGTAGAAGGAGGAGGAGGACGAGACATGAGGAGGAGGAGGCAGAGGAGGAGGAGGCGGAGGAGGAGGATGAGGAGGAGGAGGACAACGCCGATGACCCGTCGTGTAACTGAGGAACAGGAGCATGGGCCACCATTGGGTACGAGGCCCCAAACGAGTCGCTTGCCGATCTTGGGGTGTTTGCCAGCACGAATCGCAGCGATATTACAGTGGGGGCCCATGCCAAGAAACTCCCTGCTTGCCTCCGGGGGTCGCCTTGGGTTTCTTTGGTTTCGATGGTTTTGATACGGAAAGCGCGACGCTCCCACCCCAACAATCAATGGGCGTCTTTGGGTCTCAGGTTGGGTTTCTTGTGGAAGGTTTTTCTTGTGGTCGGGCCCCTACTGTATACCGCTGTCGAGACCTAGGTGGCGTGTCCTCAGCTGGACGCTTGCAGTCAAAGTCGAGGTTACATTTGGGAGCCTGAGCGGACGCTTGATAGGAGCCGCACAGGGTGCACACCAGTGCACCTCCCTGGATCACCAAAACCTGGTGCCCGCGGAGCTCCACAAGAGCCTCGGGAAGAGGGCCCGTCGATTCGCCAAGA